GAGGAAAAAGAGGAGTAGGAGGAGGAGGAGGGAGGACGGTGGAAGGAGGAAGGAGACGGAGGATGGAGGAAGAGGAAGGACGAGGGTGCGGAGGGGGTGGGGGGGGGTGGAGGGGGAGGAGGGAGGATGTACTGAGAGTGAGGTGAGGAGGAGGAGGAGGAGAGAGGAGGAGTCAGGACGAGCAGAGCAGGAGACGAAGGGCGAAACGTACAGGAGTCACAGGGTGGACCACCATGACGACGACTTGGACAAGCAGAGACGGTCCCAACAACCGAAGCTGGACAACGGTCCGCCACCGTGCTTGCACGGAGCGGGCGTGCTAGAATTTGGTCGCGCTTCTGCTGGTGCAGCGGACGCTTGAGCGCGGCCCCAGGGGCTTGGTGGCCGTTGGCGCTACAGCGGTTTCTGACATGGGGGTCACCAGGCACCAGGTTTGCGGCAAGTCGGAGGGCGAGGCGCGTTGAGACTGCCACCGTGACGGAGAGCGGAGGAGGGGAGGGAGGGGAAAGAAGGGGGAGGAGGATCGAGAGAGTGCGTCTGCGAAGGATGCAAGGACGGGGCAAATCAGAGCGGAAGGAATGTTTAGGGGTCCTCTTGGGGCCCTGTTCGGCCGTCTGGGGGGCCCCCTTGGACCGTTTAGGGGGGGCCCTCTTGGACCGTCTTGAGGGGCCTGGCCCGCCTTGGGGCGCTGTTGGGGTCCTCTTGAAGAGCCTCCTGTGACCCACTCTGTGGTGCTCTCCTGCGAGCCGCCTGGGGCTCTGCGGGGCCCTCCGTGTGCCGTCCTTGGGGCTCTTTTCGGGCCGTGCTCAGGCGCGCTTGGGCCGCTTCGATGCCCTCTTGGGAGCCTCTGGGAACGTTTTGGGGAGGTCTCGGAGGCCGTCTTTGGCCTGAAAGGCGAGAACCCCAAAATCCTTCGAAAACCCCAGGGAATCGATGGGCGTTTCCTCCTGAGTTCATCTTGGAGGTCCTGGTGGGGGCCTCTTGGGGGCGGTTGGGGGGGGCCTCTGAGGCAGTCTCGTGGCTATCGGCGCCCCCCCGTGGAGCGCTCTTGGGCCGTCTTGGGGCCTCTTGGGCCTCCTCTCGAGCCGTCTCGGAGCTCTCTTGGGCCGTCTGAGGGGGGCATCTTCGGCCCTCTTGGCGTCCCTTCCTGGGCCGTCATGAGACTTCACGACTGCTCGTCTGATGTCAGAGTGTCTTTGAGAGGTTTCTGGGGCCGCCCCCCCCCCGGCCCCCGCACCCCCCCCCCCCGCCCCCCCCGCCCCAACCCCCCCCCGACCACTTCGTGGGCGGCGTTCACGCCGAGAAATCCCCCCCCCCCCCCCCCCCGCCCCCTCAAATTGCTCCCCGACTTTGTGTTCGGCCTGCCTCCAGGCGGCGAAGACGGGCTTCAAGACGGCTTCCGAGGCAGCCAAGATGACAGCCCAAGACGGCTCGTCGGCGTCGTCAGCGTCAGCGTCAGCGTCGTCGTGGCCTCAGGATAGCTCAGAAGGCCCCCGAGACGACCCAAGAGGTCTCCAACGGGCCCTACTGGAGAGCCCGAGGAGGCCAAAAGCATTGACACTCCTCTGATCCTCCTCCTCCTCCTCCTCCTCCCCTCCTCCTCCTCCTCCTCCTCCTCCTCCTCCTCCCTCCTCCTCGCCCAACTCCTCCAACTCCTCGTCGCCCCTCGCTCCCCGGCAGAGTCTGCCTGCTTCCAGGAGGTGAATACACGCCGGTCGTTGAAAGTTGGTATTTTTGGACTCCCGGATCCCAATGCGCCTTCCTACTTCAATAATCGACATGATTATGCTGCGTTTTGTTATTATCTGGGAGGACCTGGACCCAATCTACCATATCCGCCTTCCTACTTCGTGTTTCTGCCTGCTTATTCTGACCGACGTGCACCTTGGGCATGTACAACATGCCAGCCCCAACCTCCAGGCACAGGCGTCGTCTACAGACGCATTGGGTGCCGCTGCCTATGTAGACACATTCGGGGCGGATATGTCTATGGACAACGCGGCCGTTGCGTTCGACGCAGTACAAGATCGGAGAAAGGGTAGATCCGTCTACGGCATGTTCCTGTTCTACGGCCGGTCCCGCAGGGTAGTCCAATTGAGTTCTTTGATTGGTATTGAGCTCTCGTCTGCTTGGGTTTCGGAACAACCGTCCAAGACGGCCCAAGAGGCATCCAACACAGCTCCAAGACCGTCCGCGAAGCACCCTTGAGGGCATCGAGTTGGCCCGCGAGGATGCCAGGATCGCCCGGGGGGCTCCCAAGAGGGCCCCCTTGACGGCCCTGAAGCGCTCCAAGAGCGCGCCAAAACGGCCCAGAGAGGCCCCCAAGGCGGCCGCTGAAGGCATCAGATGGGCCAAGAGGCCCCTTACAGTCGGGGCCCTGAAGAAGGAACCCTTTTCGTTGGGGAGGGGCTCCGCGTTCCTTAAGTGTTTCACAGCTTGTCTCAGGTTTTCCTTCTGTTTTCGATCGGAAATCGAAGGTTAACTTATGGAAAATAGGGGCCTCGTTCCTTATTTAGGGTTCCTTGGGTCAACGCCCCGACTGTAGGACGGCTCAAGAAGCCCCACGGAACGCCCAAGGGGCCCCAGGAGGTCCCCCAAGAGGCCCCCAAGAGGCCCTCAGGAGTTCGCCAGGAGGTCGGAGGCCCCGAGTCCTCCTCCTCCTCCTCCTCCTCCTCCTCCCTCTTCGTTTTCTCCATCTACATGCTCCTCCTACCCTCCCTCCCTCCTCCCTCCTCTCCTCTCCTCCTCATCCTCCTCCTCCCCTCCTCCTCCTCCTCCCCCTCCCCCTCCCCCTCCCCCCCCCTCCCCCTCCCCCTCCCCCTCCCCCTCCTCCTCCTCGCGGACGAAGACGAGGTCAAGTTCACGGCCCGTCCGCATCAGCCCACTCGTTGCCTTAACTTCGTTTCCTTCTCGCTGCGTTGTTGCACAGGCACGTTGGCGGGGTTTGCCGCAGGCAGCTGGATATGATCTGACGGATCCGAACGAATTGGTACGCAACGGCAGCAGGCCGAGGAAGAAGGTGATAGGCACGGCACGGAGCGCAAAGAGGAGCGGGAGTAGGAGGCAGAAAAGAAGGTACAGATGAAGGAGGAGTGGGCATGTCAGGAGCAGGAGCAGGACGTGGAGCAGGGAGGGGACGAACACATACAGGTTGAGGAGGCTCCTCCTCCTCCTTCTCCTCTTCCTCCTCCTCCTCCTCCTCCTCCTCCTCCTCCTCCTCTTCCTCCTCTTCCTCCACAAGTTCTGGAGAAGTCGAATGGGGAACGAGCATCAGCGCGAGGTGGATGAGAGCGAGGGGGGAGGATGATAATGCTGATGGTGACGATGCTGATGGTGGCGAGGAGGATAACGATAGGCAGGACGAGGAGGGAACACTCACATAGGTGGGGAGCGGAGGAGGATACGCCCGAGCACGCCAAGAGCGCCTCTAACTCGATAGATGGCGTTTGATCGCCGCTGGATCGTGTGCCTAGGGCCTAGGCTCACGACGGCCGCCTCCTCCGCTCGGGGGGGGGGGGGCGATGGCGAAGCGGGCATTGGTCATTGTGCAAGCGGCTTCGTTTGGAGGGCCGGATATTGTCGAAGACGCCCACGGCGAACCGCCGTCGCCCCCGTGCCTTTTGGCAGCGCCGATGGGGCCTCTTGGCCGTTGGAGGCAGTGCTGGGGGGCCCCTCTGGGATGTCTTGGGTCCGTCTTGTGGCCCTGAGGGTGGTGCCTGCCACCGTCGTGAGTCTATCTTGGAGGCTTGTGGGGCCATCTTCGGATGTCAGAAGCCTGGAATTGCGAGAACGTGACAACGATTGACAAAAACCTCCGGACAAGCAGCGGTGTTGTCTTGGGGGCGTTCTGGGCCGTCTGGAGGGCATCTGGGGACGTCTTGAAGCCATCCTGGGCTCACTTGGAGGTCTCCTGGACCCTCTTGGGCCGTCTGTGCGGCCATCTTGGACCACCTTGGGCCAACCTGAATGGCATCTTGGCCATCTTGGAGGCCACCTTGAGGCCATCTTGAGCGGGAAAGCCGTTGGGAGACGTCTCGCCCAAGTTTTTCCGTGTGCCCAGCGGGTTTAGCCACAGGCCTTTGGGAGCTTTTACAGCATGCTCCACACAGTTTGGAATATCCAGCACGCCAGGCACTTTTGTGATAGACACGGGGGCTGGCGACTCTTCTGGCCTTCAGCCCATCCCGCCATCGCGCCTGGGTTGTAGGTCAGTCAGGAGGGACAAAAACACAGACGAAATTCATCGTCAACTCCCATGACAGTATAGGAGAATATGGAAAGTGGGGGGAAGACGGAAATCCAGAACATGTGAGAAAAGATACGAGATCTTAGGATTGTTGTTTGTATTTCTTTGTGTGTCCATGGGCCCCTTGAGCCAGAGGCATCTTGGGATGCTCATGGGAATCTCCTGGGAGACCTATCGGAGACCTCTTGCAGGCGGACTCGGGGTGCCTGGGCGCCTCTCGGGGCACCTTGCGGCATGGCTGGGGCCTCCCGGGGGTGCTTGAAGCCTTCTGGGGGGCCCTCCGGGGCCGTCTCGCGGGTCTCCTGCGCCGTCTCGGGGGCACCCTGGGGGCCTCTCGAGCCGCCTTGAAGCGCCGGGAGCCCGGAAGGGCGAGAGCGCGGACACGCTGCGTTTTCAGGAGGGCACGTCTTGGGCCGTCCTGTGGCCAAGCTGGGAGGTCTTGGGGTGACTCGGGGCCCTCTTGGGGCCTGTGGCGCCCTCGTGGTCCGTCCTCGGAGCGCCCCCCGGGGACGTCGCGCGGGAGGCGCCCCAGCACGCCCAGTCCCCGCGAACGCCCGGTGCTCGCGGCCTTCGGTCCCTGGAAGGGTATCCGTTGCTCTGCACTCCTGTGCAGGAGACTCTCAGGGGCCTGAAGAGGCCAAATCGTGCGTCGATGCACGGTGGCGGGTCTATTCCTGGGGCCGCATGCGAGCCGCCATGGACGCACGCGAAGGATGCTGGTAGGGAAAGGTGATGACGAGGTGTTCTGGCGTGCAGCTTGGCTCAAGCTCCGGCTAGCAGCCCGGTATCTCAGATTCTTCGGACTACTGAACTTTCCAAGCAGGCCAGCCCCATTGTTTGCCCACAATGGCTCAATCCCTGGGCTACAACGATGCGGTCCTCTTCTTGTCTCTGCTCTACTCTTCCGTGGACCTCCAGCTCGAGTGGGAGACGTTCAGCGCCTGCGCCCGGCCAGTGCACTACTGGCTCCTGGTAAGCTATGCCTGCGTGCTCGGTCTTCGCCTCGCGCAGATCATCGGCACGCGGAGCACGGAGGCGCTGCCCGGCGGCGGGGCGGCGGCCCACTTCCTGCTGCAGCTGCGCCACAAGAGCGCCACCTCGCGCCTGCTCTCGCGCCTCGTCTGGCTCGCGGCCGTCCCCTTCTTCTCGTGCTGGACCGTGCTGGGCACGAGCTGGCTGTGGGCAGCGCGGGCGGAGACTCCGCAGTGCATGCCGACGGCCACGCACTACTGGTTCGCGGTCTTCTGGCTGGCCCTGTGCTACATCTGGATCTCCATCCACGTGGTCATCGGCACGGTCGCTGCGACCCTGGAGTGGCGCGTTCGCCGCGCCGAGGGTGACCTGCGCGAGATCGAGGACGCCGACGTCGTCTCGCGGTGGGGCCGTGTGAGCGAGCTGACCAGCTACCAGGACTTGGCCAGAGGAGGAGGAGGAGGAGGAGGAGGAGCCGAATTGGCTGGCTCGCCCTGAGTGTCCAGCTGCCCTCCGGCTTGGCCGAAGAATCGGCCAGGGGGACCGGGGGCCTGAAAGCCGCAGGCCAATTGCTCACTCCATTTGGGTGGTGGCAGCTGAAGGCTCTGGCAAGGTGGGTGGCGGCACTCGTCGTCGTCGTTCGCAGGCGCGTTTTCTCCCTAAATTCCGAGCTCCGTCCGAACAGGTTGCCTGCTCAGCAACATGGGGAAACTCTGGGATGCACCCCAAGGGGGCTACTCGGACACACTCCTATCGAGGATGGACGCCCCCACATCGTATATCCCAGGGTGGGACCCCAAATTTCTGGTCCAGTCGAAAACCCCACGAAGCCTGGGATAAGGGGTCGGCACACAGTGGAGGCCCATGCCAAGAAAGACCCTGCTTGCCTCCAGGGTGTCCTGGGTTTCTTGGGTTTCGATGGTTTTTGCAGTGGAAAGCGTGACGTTCCCACGCCACAAATCAGTGGATGTGCTGGGGTCTCAGGGTTGAGTTTCTTGTGGAAGGGTTCTTGTGGACAGGCCTCCACTTTAGCGGTCGGCGTATCCCCTGTTAGTCGCCCTCGTCTTCGTCGTCCTGGACTCGCGCTCGCAGTCAGCCAGAAGACGCAGGGGGAGGAGAGCGGAGCAGGTACAGTAGGTTCATGCGGCGATGGTGCGCCGGCGACGCCGGCGAAGCTCAGGCGATCGCAAACATGGGGGCGTGGATTAGCGATGGGTCCCGCTTGCATGGGAAATCGCGGATTCCCGCCGCCGAGCGAGGTGGCACCGGCCGCATTTTGGGGAGGGCACCTCCCCCGAGCCACGGATTTGGCGACCGCGCGCCAAATCCATGGATCGCGAATCCAGGTTGGCGCGCTCCCGAGGTTCATGCGGCGATGGTGCGCCGGCGACGCCGGCGAAGGCGTTCAAAAGGTTGAATTTCGGAGGCTCGTCGAGGGAGGGTTATATCCCAAGGTGGGGCTGGGGAGCGGGCCCGGCCGGATGCTCCTGCTTCACGCGTTTCCTTCTTCCAGGGGACGTTCGGGGCGATTTTCCTTTTTCCTCCTTCTCCTCCTCCTCCTCCTCCTCCGCCTCCTCCTCCTCCTCCTCCTCATCCTCCTCCTCCTCCCTCCCCCTCCTCCCCTCTCTCCTCCTCCTCCTCCTCTCCTTCCTCCTCTCTGCCCCCCCCGAGGCTTCCGCATGATAGAACGGCGCGGCAACACCGAGGGGCACGGTAGCCCCACACGACCCGACGGAATTCAACCTTGAACGACCGGGGCCACGATCGGTTCAACGTTGAGCGATCGACGCGGCGTCAAAAACCTGTGCGCGCGCCGACGTTGCGCGAACCCACCGCACGCGGAGAGCGGAGCAGGCAACCGTTGAGGGTCTTCGATGCTGCTCCCTCTCCGCCCCCCCCCAAAGCTCTCGGCTGGGAATAATCGGCCTCCTTTTCCTTGCCCTCCCCTCCTCGCCCTCGTCGTCGTGATCGTCGCGATCGTCGTGACTCAAGAGGGAAGGAATCATGCAGGCACAACTCATCGTCGATTCCCAGGAAGATGTGGGGAAAGATGGGAAGTGGGGGGCAAGACAAAGACCCAGAAAATATGGGAATCATAGGATTATGTGTCTGTTTTCTGTGCGTGTCCCTGGGCCCCTTCCGTGATCGTCGTCGTCGTATTCGTCGTAGTCGTCCTTCTCGTCCTCGTCCTCATCGTCGTCGTCGTCGTCGCCCGCGTCGCCCTCGTTTTCGTCGTCGTCGTCGTCGTCGTGCGGCGGCGGAGTGCTGCCAGGACCTGCCGGGCGGCGGGGGCTCGGGGCTGGCGCCCTGGGAGATCCGCGGGCTGCCGGGGGAGGCGGTGCTTGCCGGGGACGAGGACCGCAGCGAGGGGTGGGAGAGTCGACTACACGTAAGAGTGACCTCTCGCCGGAGTGACCTTTGGTGCGGGCACAATGGGGCCCCCCGATCACGGATTGCAATGCAATAGTAGCGTCTTGCGCGCCTGGGTTTGGTCCCCCCCGCGGCCCCCCAAAAGCCGCGCACCAAAGGCCACTCTTACCCAGGGTCACTCTTGCGTGTAGCCGAGAGTCGGGGCGACGGAATTTCCCCAATCACTGCTTGCACTGAAGGGGTCCTAGCAGAAGTTGACAGATTTGGCGAGAGTTCCCGCCGATCTTGGTAGAAGGCTAGGTTCCCGGGTTCCTGGTTCTTGGGCTCTTGGTCCTTGGTTCCGGGCCGATTTCGGTGGGTTCTGGGTTCCCGGGCTCCCGGGTTCCTAGTCGATCTCCTCAGCGAAAATCAGGAGGGGAAATAACACACAGACACAATTAATCGTCGACCCCCAGAAAATATAGGAAAATATGGGAAGTGGGGGGGAAGACAGAAACCCAGAAAATATGGGGAAAATATGGGGAATCCTTTTATTTGTGTGTATTTATTTGTGTGTCCCAAGGCCCCTTCAGAAAACCATCCACTGATTGGGGCTTTTCTTCGGTGTAATTGTTTTGGCCCGCAGGCAGAACGACAACAGGAGCAAGCGAACATCCACTGCTTCTCGCTGCATTGGCCTGCTCCCGAGCGGTCACCCGAGCTCCCAAAGCTCAGGGGCGGAAAAGAGGGGGGTGATGACTAGGGGTGGGGGGATATCATGGCGTGGGCCATGATACTTCCCCAGATTTCATGGCGCCTCTTCATATTTCGTCACGTCCCTGGCCCCCCCGCTGGGCCGCGCACATGCCGCCGGTCATGATTTGCACCCCCCCCCTCTTGGACCCCCCCCTCTTGGCCGCTCCCGCAAAGCCTCCAGCCGGCCACTGGGGACGAGGGGGCAAGGTGGCGCCGGAAGGAGAGGGGCTGCGACAGCCGATGCCGCAATCGAAACGAAAAAATGAAGCATCACCGGGGGCGATCGAAATGGGTGCGGAAGGAACGGAGTCCAGCAGCAGGTCGTCGTTTGCTGATTCATTGCTTTGCCGATCGGTGCGGGAGACGTCCCAGGCCAGGCCGGTGGTGACATCTGCAGTCTCCGCTTCTCTCTCCTTGTGCGTGACCCTCAAGGCGCACGCGTCTCTGTGGGGTGCGCCTTGAGGGTCACGCACAAGGAGGGAGAAGCGGAGACTGCAGATGTCACCACCGGCCTGGCCCGGGACGTCTCCCACAATCGGCGCGGTCCCCCCGCGGAGCAGGTCTTGGCTGTTCGGGGGCGCCCGTTTCTCACAGGTGGAGTCCTCCCCCCCGGGGACGCACGGCTGCAAGCAGTCGCATCAAGCAGAGGTTCCTCCTGCGCCCAATGCCGAAACGCCGAGTAAGAGAACGCTCACCAGTTCTCTTGTCCTTTCTGCGCAGTGTTCGCTGTCGGCGCCGCCGCAGCCGTGGTCCGTTGTAGACAGAGCGCCGCCTGCCCAACCGCGGCAGGCCGTCGGCGTTGGACAGCGTGTGTTGTTCGGCATCCTACCCATGGTCTGCGTACCCCTGGCGGGCGTCCAAAGGGAGGGGAGGAGGAGGAGGAGGAGGAGGAGGAGGAGGAGGAGGAGGAGGAGGAGGAGGAGGAGGAGAGAGGAGGAGGAGGAGGAGGAGGAGGAAATGGAGGAGGAAATAGAGGGGGAAATGGACGAGGAGGAGGAGGAGGAGGAGGAGGAGCAGGAGCAGGAGCAGGAGCAGGAGGAGGAGGAGGAGGAGGACGTGGAGGAGGAGAAGGAGGAGGAGGAGCAGGAGCAGGAGGAGGAGGAGGAGGAGGAGGACGTGGAGGCGGAGAAGGAGGAGGAGGAGGAGGAGGAGGAGGGAGATGAATGAGGAGGAGGGAGAAGAGGGAGTACCCGCGCGCTGACATGGGTATGCCGCGGCTTCTGCGCGTGTCCCTCCATCCGGCGCTCCGCGCGCCAGCCAGAGGTGGGCAAGGTCAGCAGCATGGGCAGCAAAGACGACTGCCGTGGGGGCCGGGATTTCGCGTTGCGAGCGCCCTTGCGATTTCGCAGCATGGGCAGCAAGAAAGCAAGTGAATCACCGAGCGCGTTCCACTACTCGCAAAGTGCCTACTCACAAACGTCCGAAATACACGCGTCTGTTTTGATGCAATGTATCGTAGATCCTCCGCCGGGGATCCAGGCCATTTGCGAGTAGTCACTTTGCGAGTCGTGGAACGCGCTCGTCCGGTGAAGGATCAGGCGTGTGCACTCCCCAGAGGTCCGAGCAGACAGCGTTGGCCTCCCTGGCCGGGCGCCGTGCACCTCTCGAGCCGTGCACGCGTTCGCCCCCCTTTGGCCTTCGCGGAGGTCGCGGCGCCGAGGCGCCCGAGTCCACCAACACGACCACCTCTCGGGTGATATGGAGGTTCCGTAGCCATTTTGGCTCAAGACCATGCCTCCCCCCGCGGAGGACACGGATACCGCTAGTCCGCGGCTCGCCCAAAGTTTTCTTGCTGGCACCACTGTGTTCGGCAAACTCACCCGACACCTGTGTCTGCTGACTGTCGCCATGGCACAGTATTGGAAGTGCAGTTGCGGTGAGTTCAATACCAAGGGCCGTCGGACATGCAACAATTGTGGAGAAGCAAAGCCGCCACCTCGTCCATGGAACGGCGGGCCGAAAGGAGCCCATTTCTGGATGCTGCGTACGGGGCCTGCTCTCAAGCAGGGTGGATGGAAGCCATGGACCAAGCAAGGAGGAGCTCCGCAGGCACAACGGCCGCAGCCAGCCGCAGGAGCTACCCTCTCGCCCAGCGACGTCAAGGAGTGGTCCGAGCTTCCCATCGACATCTACGAGAAAACGATAAACGCCTTGTCTCAGTCTTCCAGGCAAAAGGTTGAGTACGCCAGGCGGGCTGGGCTACTTGGCGCTGCTGGTCGTGAAGCTCCTCAAGCTGTCGACAAAACCGCCAGGGCCCTCCAGTATGCGAAGGACCGCTTGGCAAGCAATACGGACAAGGCTCTCAAGCTGCTGGAGGCGGTATCAACCTCGGAGGCTGAAGTGGCTAAGTTGGAGAAGGAGCTCGAGTCGGCGAAGCAGGACGCGACGAAGCTGTACGGCGCAAGCACACCCGCAGCTGGCGGGTTCACGGTGCAGCAGCTCAAGGCCAAGCTCGGAGAGATCCCCACGGAGGGCACCACGCTCACCGACTTTCTCAAGTCCCTCCAGGCAGCGGTCGACGAGCTTGACAACGCCAGCAAGCCGACCGAGCCGCAGCAGCACGTGTCGCCTGCAGCCCATGAGCCAGCCCCCCTTGAAGGAGCTGCAGCTGGAGGCGAAGCGGCCGCTGCTGAGGGCGGCCCATCGCACGGGACCACGCCCGATGAGGCATTCGACGCTTTCATGGCTGGCGATGATCCTGGCGGCCTGCTGGGCCCCTGCCAGGATGAGGGAGAGCGCAAGCGGCATGCCGAGGCCCTGGAGACCATCCGCGCAGCCAAGCGTTCCAAGACGGCAGGCGGGGTAGCTCTGCCAAGAGGCGCCGGCGGGTGGCGCTCACCATCAACGCCAACGCCTACAGCAGGTTCGAGGCGCTGCTCACCGAGAACCAGGTGCGCAACGCAGATATGATCGCGGTGCAGGAGACTCACCTCTCCGACTTTCGGTGTGCGGAGGTGACCGACAAGCTCAAGAAGCAGGGGTGGAATGCCCTCGCGTGCCCCGCAGTGGGCACTGGCCCAGGCCTCCACGGCCATGGAGGGCTGCTGCAGTTGGCGCCCCGTGCGCATGGCCTCGGCGCCTTTGAGATGAAGAGCGGCTTCGAGCTCTTCCCTGGCAGGGCTTCGGTTGCCCACTTCGCTGGCGTCGTGCCTGGCGGAGTTGCCTGGTTCAACGTCTACCTCAAGGACAGCGAGGGCATGTCCGACTTCAACTACCAGGTGTTGCAGGCCGTCTTCCGCGCGGCTAAGCAGATCGCCAAGCCCATCATCATTGGTGGGGATTTCGACCTGGAGCCGCAGGAGCTGGCGGCGTCAGGCTTTCTCAGCGCACTCAAGCTCAAGGTGGTCGCTCCCGTCGAGGGTACCTGCCGCCCTGGGGGGGCGCATCATCGACTACTGGGCCATCAGTACGACCTTCGGCGAAGCGGAGGCCAAGGTGCTGCACGGCTGGAACCTAGCGCCGCGCTTTCTTGTCCAGCTGAGGGTCGACGGCAGCACCTTCGCCAGGAAGATGCAAATCATGGAGATCCCCAAGCGCCTGCCCTGCCCGCTGCCCGCCGCATGCTGCAGCAGGGACCACTCAGCTCCCTGGGAGGCCACTCGGCAGGCCATGCAGGCCACGAGCTCGCTCTCCTCGCGCTGGCAGCTGTTCGTCTACCAGGCCGAGTGGAACATCATCGACGCCGTGGGCCTGGCTCACGAGTACGACGACTACGCAGGCCGCGCCGCCAGGCCACGACCTGGCACCCAGCCCGCCGCGCATCCCTAAGTGCTCCAAGGCCACCGCCTGGCACAAGAGTGCGGCGATCGCGATCAAGGGCTGCGCGCAAGTCGACTTCCCCCTCCGTCGGTTTCGGGCGCTGCGGGCCCTCAGCAAGATGGCGGGCGAAGACGTGGTTCAGTCCACGGCCTCGAACGACAGCAGGGAGGCAACTACCACCACCGACCAGTACAAGCTGGACACGATCACCATCTCCGCCACCTTGGCGGAGGCCACGCCCTCCCTGGACATCGGCACGCTGCAGCGCATCGCTGCTTACGCCAACGCGGCTGCCGACAAGATGGTCCAGAAGGAGGCCCACGCGAGGCAGTCGAGCTACAACGACTGGGTGACCGACAATCACATTAAAGGCACGGGGGGCCTCCATGCTCCCACCAAACCTCCACAAGGCTGGGCTCCTCGCCCTACGGGAGCGTCTCCCGACGGCTCTCCTCCTACCCTCCAGGAGACTGTTACTGCCTTGGTGAAGGAATTG